TCGCCCTTCAGCAGCACGATGTTGCCGGTTTCGAACAAGCCGTGATGGACATGTCCACCCCCGGTCACGCCGACTATGGAAAGCATTTCCGCACACATGATGAGATGAAGCGCATGCTCCTCCCCATCGACACTGCCGTCGACTCAGTCCGCGACTGGCTGGAATCCGCCGGAGTCCACAATATCCAGGTCGACGCCGACTGGGTCAAGTTCCATACCACTGTCGACAAGGCCAATTCCCTGCTGGATGCCGACTTCAAGTGGTATGTCAGCGACGCCAAGCACATTCGTCGTCTACGCACCCTGCAATACTCCATCCCCGACGCCCTGGTCTCGCACATCAACATGATCCAGCCCACCACTCGCTTTGGCCAGATCCAGCCGAACCGTGCCACCATGCGCAGCAAGCCTAAGCACGCCGACGAGACATTCCTGACCGCAGCCACCCTGGCCCAGAACACCTCCCACTGCGACTCCATCATCACGCCGCACTGTCTGAAGCAGCTCTACAACATCGGTGACTATCAGGCCGATCCCAAGTCCGGTAGCAAGGTCGGCTTCGCCAGTTACCTTGAAGAATACGCCCGGTATGCCGATCTCGAAAGGTTCGAGCAGCACCTGGCTCCCAACGCCATCGGCCAGAACTTCAGCGTCGTCCAATTCAACGGCGGCCTCAACGACCAGCTTTCATTGAGCGACAGCGGCGAAGCCAACCTCGACCTGCAGTACATCCTGGGCGTCAGCGCTCCCGTCCCCATCACCGAATACAGCACTGGCGGACGCGGCGAACTAGTCCCCGACCTGAGCTCCCCGGATCCCAACGACAACAGCAACGAGCCCTACCTCGACTTCCTCCAGGGTATCCTCAAACTCAACAACTCCGACCTCCCCCAAGTCATCTCTACCTCCTACGGCGAAGACGAACAAGTAGGTCCCCTTTCATCCCCCAATCCTCCCCCAAAACTACCCCTAACTAACCACCCCTCCCACAACAGACCATCCCCGTCCCCTACGCCCGCACCGTCTGCAACCTCTACGCCCAACTCGGCAGCCGCGGTGTCTCCGTAATCTTCTCCAGCGGCGATTCCGGCGTCGGCGCCGCCTGCCTCACTAACGACGGCACCAACCGCACCCACTTCCCTCCTCAATTCCCAGCCTCCTGCCCCTGGGTAACCTCCGTCGGTGCCACCTCCAAAACCTCCCCGGAACAAGCCGTCTCCTTCTCCTCAGGCGGCTTCTCCGACCTCTGGCCCCGCCCCTCCTACCAACAAGCTGCCGTGCAAACCTACCTCACCCAGCACCTGGGCAACAAGTTCTCCGGCCTCTTCAACGCCTCCGGCCGCGCCTTCCCCGACGTCGCCGCGCAGGGCGAGAACTACGCCGTCTACGACAAGGGCATGCTGGGCCAGTTCGACGGGACGAGTTGCTCCGCGCCGACGTTCAGTGGTGTCATTGCCTTGTTGAATGATGCGAGATTGAGAGCGGGGTTGCCTGTTATGGGATTCCTGAATCCGTTCCTTTATGGCGTGGGGAGTGAGAGCGGCGCGTTGAATGATATCGTGAAGGGCGGAAGTGTGGGTTGTGATGGTAGGAATCGTTTTGGTGGCACGCCCAATGGAAGTCCCGTTGTGCCGTTTGCTAGTTGGAATGCGACTACTGGGTGGGATCCGGTTTCCGGGCTGGGAACGCCGGATTTTGCGAAGTTGAGGGGTGTGGCGTTGGGTGAAGCGAAGGCGTATGGTAATTAAGGGTGAGAGTGGGGAAGATATTTTCTTTTCGTTGTGAATATTAGGTCAATTGTGTGGATAACTTTCATACATAATTCTTCAAACTGTGATAATCTGGAAGAGGTGTTTGATGAGCATGATTTGTTTATGTGAGCTGTTTGTAGTGTATAACGAATTATTAATTGAGTGGAGGGTATTAAAGAACTAAAATTATATACAAAGGTTAACCCATGCAGTCGTAACCCATAATGCAAAGCTCTACTCTATCTGTATCGGTAGCAGATAAAAGTGTATGCAGTGTGTATCTGTCAATGACGCAATCAAGCGGGCACACCACCAGTGCCAAACAGCTCCATCTTGATGCGGTCCACGCTCACGCCCTCAGCAGCCAACTTGCCCTTCACGTCCAGCATGAACGACTCGGGACCACACACGTAATACTGCGTTGTGGCATCGTCCAGGAAGAGGTCCTTCTTGGAATCCAGCTTGCTCAGGTCCAGGCGACCGGCAAAGTCGTAGTCTTCACCCTGCTTGTCCTCGGCAGCTGGGTGGCTAGTGAAGAAGAATGCCTGCAAGTTGGGCACCTTGGTGGCCAGCTCGCGGATCTGGGGCTTGAAGGCACGGGCGGCGGAGGTGCGAGCGCCGTGAATGAAGGAGATTTTGCGCTGTGTCTCGGATTCGGTCTCGAGGATGGTGTTCAGGATCGAGGTGAGCGGGGTCAGACCCACACCGGCTGCCAAGAGAACGATGGGGCTGGTGCTCTGCTTCTCCGCATCGGACAGGAAGAAGTCACCCTGGGGGTGCGACACCTTGATGATGTCGCCCTCTTTCTTGAGATCGTGCAGAATGTTGGACACGAGGCCAGGGTGGGCTTCAGCACCCGGTTCAGTGGCATTGAGACCAGGCTCCTTCTTCACGGAGATCCGGTAGTAGTCGGAGCGGGGCTTGTCACTGAGGGAGTATTGTCTGGCTTGAGGGTGGTTGAGTTGGGGGACGAAGAGCTGGATAGAGATGTATTGTCCGGGACGGAAAGAAGGGAGGGGCTTGCCATCGACAGGCTCGAGGTAGAAGGAGGTAATCTCAGAAGATTCAGGAACCTTCTTGGCGATGCGGAAATCGCGGAACTCGGTCCATCCGTCGGCCTCCTTGTAGAGGGCAGCTTCGCGGTTGATCATGATATCAGCGAGTTGGAAGTAAGCGGCGGCCCACGCGTCCTTGATGGCGGGGGTGAAGGCGTCACCAAGGACTTCGCCCATGGCCTCGAGCAAGAACTTGCCAACGATGTTGTAGTGCTCGGGCTGGATGTAGAGGGAGGCATGCTTGTTGCAGATGAGCTCGACGGCGGGGCCGAGGGCACCAAGGTTGTCGATGTTGGCGGCGTAGGCGAAGACAGCCCCGGCGAGGGCGCGGGGTTGGTGGCCGTTCACTTGGTTGGATGAGTTGAAGATGGCATTCAGCTCAGGGTGCGCGGCGAGCATGTTCTTGTAGAAGACGCTGGTAACAGCATTGCCATGCTCCTTGATCACAGGCACGGTGGCCTTGATGATGTCAGTCTGTTCCTGGGTGAGACCCATTGTTTAGTGTGGATGTATCTGCCGCGAACGGGTAGATCTGGCAGAACAAATGATGCAAAGAGTACCAAAGGAGAACGAGTCTAAGAATGATCTTGGAGAATGGAAAAGGAAAAGCACTCTGATGGTGATGGTCTATCCAAGTATTTATAATCCGGTGAGCAATTAGGAGGTGGTCCTTGAGGGCTTTTGTTAGTTCGGGTGGACGGCATGCCGTGGCGGGAGAAGTTTTTTCTTGCTTCCACTTTTTTTTTTTGTGTATACTAGTTGAACGGCGCGGCCTTTTGAGCATCTCCGCGGAGAAACTGGGGAAGTACAGAAGGTGCCAGACTAACGCGTCAAATCAGGTTCCAGATGATGCTAAGGCTGTCGATCCGTGATTGGGCTGGGAAGAATTTTGAGTGTGAAATGATAATCGAGTCATTCTCAATTGGTTCAAGGGGCTGTCACTCCTGTCAGATAGAGCAGATCCCCCAGTGGGAGCTGCATATCCGTCACATCCCTCCATCACTATTGAGGCACCTGATAAGAAGGCAGACGTCTCCTTCTGCAGCATCTCTGCTGTCAATGTCATGGCACGCCGAGACAGAATAGCGAGCGAGCTAAAGTCAAAATGACTCGCAGCAAATTATTAATTTGAGGCCTTTGATCAGCCCACCAAATCCCGACGCCCGACCGGAAGTTTTAGGGGGGAGCCCGAGAGCAACCGAGTCTCGGCCGTGGGGTGATCCATTTAACGCTCACGAACTCCTCGGGGAGGCCGTTGTTCGAATTCATCCAGTCACAAAGATGCTGTTAGTCATGTGTGATGCATGATGCCTTTTGAGACAGTACTACTGTACGATACTGCGGCAATGCAGGGACCGACGAGACCCCGAGGAAGATGCGAATGATGCAGAGGAAGGAAGGAAGTGACACTCTCTTCTTTCCCTCGGATTAAGGTATCTCCGGGATAAATACCCGCTAGTCCTATATGGGATGGTTGATCTCACTACTCTCGAAGACAGTAAGACTACCACAATAGTCTCCTGCTAAGCTCTTGTCTTGGCTACAGGGTGGAACACCCCACCATTTAGCTCGATGCAAAGCATCTGCCCATTCTCATTGTTAACATGTAACGTCAACGATATTGTCCATCCGCTTGCCGCCGTCAATCAATTCTGCGTGGGGCTCTTCCCGAGTCGGACCCCCAAAGATAAAACAAACAGTAATGCAACCTCAATTCGGCTTCATAAATTTGTGACTCCAAGAAAGAGACTACCTGCTAACTAGTTCGTCGTTAGATGGAATTCCCCCAAATGAGGCATGTCGGACTGTACTCCTCCTCTCAACGTAGCCGCTATTGTCTGGTTGCTCAACGCCACAAAGCAAGGTCCAGAACACTCAATGCTCCTCAATCTTCGGCTCAACCATGGTCGCATCCAAGTCGTCTAGCTCATTATTTATGGCTGCTCTTCCCTAGCTCGAGCCAAATCTTCTCCGATAGATGGCTCACCACCTGCGAACCGAGATAATCCTCTTTCAAGCCTCCTGCCGGAAGAGAACGTCATGACGTTTGCTCCAGCTGGAATTGCGGAGCTGACAGCTCGCCCTACCCTGATGCATAAAAGCCGCTCTGTTGCTCTAGCAGCCCACTTTTTTGGTCGCAAATATATTCCACTCACAATCGGCCTTGTTTCGAACAAGTTGTAAAGAATATCATCATGGGGCCGCCACAATGGTTTCGCAAGCGCAACGCCGACGGCCAAACGGCTCCCGTCTATAGATCCTCGAATAATCAGCTTCCCATGCTGCACCTCGCCGACACAACGCGGAACAATTTCATCGCCGCCGTCGGGGAATTCGTGGGAACCTTTCTCTTCCTCTTCTTCTCCTTCGCTGGGACGCAGGTGTCTAATACCCCAAAACCAGTGCCCGGGTCTCCTCCAAACACTCCAAACCTGCTATACTCCTCGCTCTGCTTTGGATTCTCGTTGATGGTCAATGTGTGGGCATTCTATCGAGTGACTGGAGGTCTATTTAACCCCGCAGTATGTTGTACCATGCCAGGTCCGAGATATTTGATTGATCATTATTCTAGGTCACTTTGGCCCTGTGTCTGGTTGGTGGACTGTCTCCCGTCCGAGGGGTTATTGTTTTCGGGGTTCAGCTCATCGCAGGCATTGCGGCTGCTGGTGTCGTGAGTGCTTTGTTCCCAGGCGACTTGAACGTCGGCACTCGTCTGGGCGGTGGCGCTTCAATCTCACAAGGATTGTTCATCGAAATGTTTTTGACGGCTCAGCTGGTGCTCATTATCATCATGCTGGCTGTTGTGAAACATAAATCCACCTTCCTGGCTCCTGTGGGCATCGGCCTGGTGTTTTTCGTGACTGAGATGGTCGGTAAGTAGATAACTTCGGATCACATTGCTGCCAGATATTATGCGACTAACCTCTTCCTCCTGCAGGGGACTATTATACTGGCGGCTCACTCAACCCGGCGCGATCGCTCGGTCCTGACGTCATCAACCGCAGTTTCCCAGGGTACCATTGGATCTACTGGGTCGGTCCGTTGCTGGGAAGTCTCCTCGCATGCGGCTTCTTCACCTTCCTCAAGATGTTCCAGTACACCACCGTCAACCCTGGCCAAGACTACAATGAATGGGAAGCCAAGATGGGTTCGGGAGGTCCCGGATCGTGGGACATGTCGATGCACCGTCCCTCATATAACTCCGAGGCTACTACAGTAGAGCAGCCGCAATCCCCAACGGCCGGCCGGAGGAATCACACCCCGACCAACTCACAACTGCAGAACAACCCTAATATTCCCAATATCCCTCACGGAGCAGAGCAGGTGTAGTCAATCGGGTGTGACGGGTTAATGGTGGAAATTGACGAGGCGCTAGGGAGTATAAGGTTGACAGCAACCGGTTAATTACGTAATTACTTTCTCGGTGTACCTTTTTTTCTGGTTAATATTTTCGTTTGATGTTCTGGCCATGTTCCATGAGAATTTGTTCAACGACTGCTCAAGGGTTGGCACGGTGGCGTGGTGGTTCATGTACGGAGTACCATTCGAGGCAGATTGACCATCTCCGCGGGGAGCTAACTATCTCCGCGGCTCTGTAGTCCAACAACTCAACTTCCGACTTCCGCAACTTCCACGAGACAGGAACAAGTCTTGGCTTTGATCATATTTTCAGCGGAAAGAGTCATTCGCTTTATGCAATCGCACGTGCCGACTTTTTAGTCTTAGTAAATACGTACCTTCACTTTGCAACGATCAAGTTGCATCCATGATTCCTGCGTCAGTTATACAGCCAGTGGAATATACTAGTGAGCTTGGAAACCCCCCCTTTTTCGATTCTATGGCCGAGGCCACTTCAAAAAACGACACCGTGATAAATCATTACGGGAGCTGATAGAGAAGATTGTAGGAAATGACTCAATGAAAGTGTCACAATCGAATGAATTAACACTGTGCTGACATACGAATATAAACATGCTCAACCTTTTTATTTTTAGTCATCGAGGGTAAGAACGTTTGAAACTATAGATATGATGTGTCTCTAGCAGGGTAACAGTATTTTCACTGAATGTAAAGAATGAATAGAATCGAAACGTTTATCTTGACCGGTGTGAGGAGCAGACGAAGGCCTTTTTCCAAACTGCGTAGATATGAATAACTCTATTCTTACTGAAATCCGATTGCTTCTTCCCTTAACTAAAACAAGCAATGAATATCAGTCTTTGCCCCTATAGGGTAAGCCAGCATTCCCACTGGCAAAAGTCATAGTAGTCGACCGGTGACATAGTAGTATATTATGTGACTGGACGACACCGACGAAGTCAAAAGAGTGATTATGACGAAGCATGTTCCAAACCGCAGTTGGCAGTGTGAGCAGCAACAAGGATGAGTCAAGACTGAACTTGAAGATACCTTCAATCTTGATATCTGCCACATCCCCCGCAATCGATTCTGACAAGGACTGGATGCATTGCTCGACGATATCCGACACACTAGTCGTGTCAGAGATTATCCGAACAGTAACCAAAACCTTTCAATCTGACAGGTCACCTGCTTTTCGGAGACCTCTAAGCTACCTTGGGCACGCTCCTATAGGGCGAAGGGTGATTGATGGCTTGTTCTTGGCCGGGGGATGTACAGGGATAAGTCCCAGTTGGCTGCCGGGACGGTTTGCATGCACGGCAAGCTTGGCGTGTATTTGTGATATAGTGATTTCGGTATCAACTTGATTCAGTAAGTCAATGAGTCGCCTCGTTAGTGATACATCGATGCCCTTGGCTGCTGGTGATCTGAATGCCGAAACCGCGAGGTACTCAATATCTTCACAGTTTATTGCCGCCCTTGATGGGAACGGCGAGTCCAGGATAAAGACGACATCTCCATCAGTAAAGGCCAGCGCGGTCTCCACAAAACCCCAAGGTAAAGAAACCGTAGGCTCCCTCATCGACCCCCTATAGTGTTACTTAGCTTATTGATGACCATCTCCGGAAATTTAGATTTAAATCTACCTACATGATACTGACACAAGCAATGGGTATGTCATAGTACGCATTCGAATGGCCTCCATACACAATGATGAAGAGTGTGTCCGAGGAGTCATACATAGAGAGCATCGTTCGAATTTTCGCCTGCATAGCCAAAGCTACCTCCGCTATGGGCGCAGATGGGAGCAAAAACGAATCAGTTTTGAAGCCGTATATCGTCTCGAAAAGTCGTAGAAACTCGTCAATATCCTTCCCGTCTAAGTCGTCGTCCTCCCAGCGAAGGCTCAGTACAATGCCTTGTTTGTATTGGCGCTTGGACGGTAGGGCTCTGGTTACACCTTCGTTGATGGTCTTGAGAGCTTCACTGAAGGTTTCAGCGTGGCTCAGCGAGTGGACAGCACTGGTAATATAATGATTAGGCATCCTGGACGGTGTTGGTGACAGAGGGAAGGCATGGATGGCAAGTATAGGGTAAGAAAGAGATTATGAGGAGCGGTGGATGGTATAAGGAGATTCTGAGAAGAGATGATGTCCAAAGTGAGGTGATATTGAGGTAAGATGAGGTAGTCCTGACCGGTACTGCTACGCATAACCATGGTAATACCCCATTCTGAGTCGTTTGTCAATGAGTTATGATTAAGTGTTCATAAGGCTTTTCATGAAAGCTTCTGGGTGGCTGTTTATTACTCCACTGCAACAATTGAATAGTCCATTACACTTCTACCGTTAGACCAACTGACAAGCCCTTAGGTAGTATTCCAATGATTGTCTTGTTCTGTCCAAATTCTTCGGATTCTAGCCTTATAATTTCTCGATCTCGATTCTATCCAATCAATTATAAGATCTGCCTCATAATCCATGGACCATCAATCTGAGACCTACTCCAGCACAGATACAATGGCAGCTCGGACCATCTCAATATAAGCCATCCATAACTTTCCTTTCCTATATTGCCCAGGGCATGTGTTGGTACCATCTGCACGCTCTTTGGTCGCCTAAACTGGAAGCTAAGCATTTAGCCGATCAAGAAGACTGTCTCTCAAGCAGCGATCGGGCAAATTATCCGCGCAGACCAACAGGCAGTGCAAAGATCGCCTACATTATCGCTTGTTCTGGCGAATTTCTCGCCCCATTCAGGCTGACTTGGGGGCCAGAGGATCGGGCTGGATTAAGCCAAGTTCGAAAGCGCACGCTGATGGGCTTTACACTTTTCCATCCAGTAATAAGCACAATAGCTTGACTCGCGCATGCGACCGGTAGACCCGTACCTGCAGTAGGCAGAAAATGCTACGATTAGAAATGACTTGAAGCATTGGTGGGATGGGAATAATGGTATTGCTTGGTTTTGGCCCTCTGGGGGCCAAAAGCCACCGCCGCGGCCAGCCCGATCCTCTACACTGTTACCGAAGCTCAGCCACCAAAGAGTAAGAGTTGGGAATACTAAAGAAACAGTCTCCCTTCAGGATATTCTTTCATGCCAAGCGTAAGCCAACTGTCACTCACTCTTTGTTTTTGCTTGTTACAGTCATTCTTTATCGTCCTTTGGACAATGCCACTCTTTAATGCAAAAACCCTGCTGGCAGGGCTCTGCGCTGCCAGCATCGTCTCACCAGTGTTAGGGCTTCCTCAGTCCTCGCATACGGCCTCGTCGGCAGTTGCAAACACCCAGGGTAGGACCTCTTCTGAGAGCTATCCTTCATGGACTTCGGGGTCGGATTCAACAGCTACCACGATCTCTGCCTCGAATACTCCATTGTACTCTCCTTCGCTGGCTACGGCCTCCCTTGGTGCTTCTCAGGGGCCCTCGACCGATGACCACGATGGAGCATCGAAGTCCTCTCATGGAGCCACGACACTGTCGTACTCTAGCACGCCTGTAAACACACCCCAAAGGTTAGTCTTCCCTTGATAATCAAAAAGTTGGGTCCTAATGGTAGTAGTGTCCATGACACATCTGTCAGCCAGTACACTCCTTCGAGTTCCCACTCTCATACGACGACATTGTCAAGTTCTTCTGCAAGTGTCCCTGCTCAGGATCATACTACTGCGTCAAGTCGCTCTCATTCTGTCGTCTCCAAGGAGACTTCCACTCGCTCCCCTAGCAGCTTGTTCACTCCTGCTTCCATTGAGACTCCCACCAGCCCATCTCACACTCCTTCAACCCACACTCTTTCCACTCATTCTTCGAGCTCCTCAGAGCATGCTTCATCTGAGTCTGCTACATCATCCCACACAGTCAGTACATCGAAGGATACCCACACTCATACGCCTACATCGTCTACGTCTTCATCGGAAATCTCGACAAGTTCCTCGGCTTCAGCTAAGCACGACACTTCCACGAGCTCATCGACGCCTGTTCGTTCTCATACCCCTACCGCGTCGACGCCAGCTTCATCCAAACCGAACACTAGCTCTTTGACCAAGACTCACACAACGCACAGTCGTACTGAGGACACCACGTCAAGCTCTGCTACTCACACTCCTACGTCAAAGTCAAGCTCCAGCTCCGCAGAGACTGCTTCATCAACCCCTGCATCTCATTCTCCTACATCGAGCACTCACTCCATCACTACCACCACAACGACCAACACTGATACCAGCCAAAGTGCTAGCATCACGACTGGCCCCTCCACGACACCAAACTCGACGATTTCAACCACCAGCAGCACTACAACCTCTTCTGTTGATGTCTACGCCATTATCAAGCACCTCTATAAGCTCGTGAAGGACACATACCCAGTGATCAAGAAATGGAAGAAGGACCCCAAGTCCGTCAAGGCATCCGATCTCATCAAGCCCCTGAAGCGCGTCATCCCCGTAGCGGATGACGTTCTCGACGTACTTGGGGCACCGAGTTCTTTAAGTTCAAGCTCTGGTGATAGCGAATCGGCACTCGATAGTTGTAGCAGCGGTGGAGGCCTGCTGGGAGATATTATCGGCATTGCGAGCTGCATCTCCAGTACTGCGGATGAGGCAGTGTCGATCTTGGGCAGTTCCTCAGACAGTGATACATCTGATGAGTCCAAGCTCTCGTCTTACTTTGACGCCTTTGAGACCGAGGGAAGTTCCCTCAGCGCAGTGGGAGTGACTGCCACTGGCTCTACCGCGACTAGCACCGGTACGACAACGACAACGACCTCGGGCGATACGTCTTCGAAGTCCACAAAGACTGCCACGTCTACCAGTACGGATACCGATACGTCTACCAAGTCTACAAAGACCAAGACGTCGACAAAGTCCACCACAGCTTCCGACTCTAGCTCGTCTGCCGGCTCAGGCGGCCACTCGGCGAGCGCGTCTGCTTCACCCACTTCGACCAAGTCTTCGACAAGCACCAAAGATTCTTCTACCTCCACAAAGACAAAGACCAAGTCCAAGACGGAATCTTCGCATGTAGCATCGTCATCCGCTGCAGCAAGCAAGACTACATCCACAGATACCACCACCACGAAGAAGACCACATCCACCAAGTCTAGCGAATCCTCTTCTTCCGCACCGCTGTCTGCATCCTCGTCAGCCCACACGTCCAGCATTGCTACGACCAACTCAACTTCCACCAGCACCAACAGCAAATCCAGCACGTCAACCGACACCACAACCACCATCATCATCCACACGCACAGCGGAACAGCCAGCGACACCAGCACCACGCACCACACTTCCACCGTGACGCCCTCACCATCACGCAACCAGACAGCCACAACCCTAGTCACCACAACCTCATCCTACACGCCGCCCCTCTGCACCAACCAGTAAGCCCCTACCTTCTCCCCCACACCCACCCTCACCAACCACAAACCCACTAACCAACCCCCCAGCGCCGACCCCGACAACGGCGCCGACAACGTCTGCGTCTGCAACCAACCCAACGGCGACTACACAACCCTCTCCGAACTCCCCTCCGGCAGCGGCTGCTCCTACACCTCCATCCCGACCCCCACCAGCACCAGCACGACCAAAACCACATCCACAAAGACAACCTCCGACCCCCCCTTCACCACCACCGAACTCAACAGCGACGTCCTCGTCTGCGCCACCTCCACCCTAAGCTACTTCTCCACCTTCACGTACACCAAATGCGCCGGCACCAGCAGCACGATCTACACGGCGCCGACGCCGACGCCAACCGCCCAAATGGTCATCGCCTACCTCTCCGACATGTACAGCTACTGGTCATTCTTCACGCCGGACATGGGCTCCTCGATTAATTTCTGTAAGGATGCGGAGGCGGGCGAGCTAGAAGCTAGTGGGAATATCAAGGTGGTGGATCCGCCGTATCCGGATGGAACGAAGAAATTGGATTTCAAGATCCATGATATGGAGGATTGTGTTTATAAGGGGACGAGTGATGAGCCGGGCACGTTCACTTGTCCGCAGTTGGGGAAGACGGTCGATTGTGAGAGTTATGGGGACAGTAAGGTGCATGATTGTTATGGGGCGTTGAGTGTGAGTATGTTTAATCCGGTGGTGAGGTGTCAGTGGTATTAGGTGTTGTGATACTTTGATCTAAAAGGAAAGGAATTTGGGGTTGGGGAAGAGAAGGGAAGAGGGGGGACTTTGTTTATATATATTTTTTTAGGAAATTGTAATTATTGAAGTCTGCTATTATTCTGGTTTTGTATTTGTTAGGAAGGATTATGTTGAGTAGGGTGTGTTTTCATCGGTTGCGGCTCTGGTTGGTATGCATGCAGATAAGTGACGAGGTTGATGTGGGAATTGGTGGTGATACCTGCTGATTATTAGTCAATAGATGCTTACTACAACTCGAAATATATTTTCGATAAGAGTTCACCAGTGATATTTAAATTAACGCCGAGCAAATTGGTATCTAATACATGATAAATCGCCAACCAAAGTCCCAATAAATACTTGGTATACCTCAAGCATCACACCACATGATAATCCAGTAGTACCTTGTCCCACATCCCCGAGCCGATATCCACATAGCCGTCCAATCCCATCTGCCGGCTTGATCGACGATACCATAAACCAATCTTATGATCATCCGGAAGGATGTTCACATGTATCGAGTCAATGCGGCGTGACTCTGGAACCAGATCTCCCGGCATGAGGCCTTTAGATTCGATATCGATCAATCGTTCTAGGACGAGCACGGCCCCCGGTGTTGTCCAGAGACCTTCTTGTCTCTGACAGCTGCGGAGTAATTGTACTGCTTCTCGCCGGATATACCAGTCGCGACATTTAAAGGCGCAGAAGAAAAGAGGAGGGATGATGCCCATCCCGATGGAGAAGTTGGGTATAGTTGACTGGGCGGGTGTGGAGAGGAGGAGGATTTTGGCGAGCGCCACGGCTCGGCCGAAGTTGAGGTGAAAGGCATCAAAGCGAGTTTCGCTGCCACCGAGGCGCGTTTCTGTCGCGGCCATGATGTAGATGATTTCGCTCCAGAGTTTGAGGACGGTGAG